AAGTATACCAGACTTCACGCGCTTCGTGGCCTGGAAGGTTACCAAGAAGGCCCGGCGGAGCATAACGAGCCAAATGCGCCAGGCATTGCCTGGCGCGGATGGAGGACCAGACACGATACGTCAACGACAGCACCGTTATGGGCCGAAACTGGCCAACCAGAGAGGCATCAGGTATCTTCTCCAAGGCAGTAACAACACCATCAAGCATCTGACGTGGCCATTCTCCAGTGGCCTCAGCATGGTGGCAAAGGTCCAAAAGAGCCTGTGTCAAGTCAAGTGGCAGAAGAAGCAAATCCGCACGCGAAACGCCGTCAGGACCGGTACTGCTATGTGCATGCTTACGCTGGACTTCAGCACGCCAAGTGGCCAAGGTGATAGGGTGATAATCCATGGGAGGGATTGGGCGCCTGGCTGCAAAAGATGCGACCAGTGGTGCCCACCTTTGAGGATCAACTTGGTCATGGCGCTGCCACCGTCGACTCCATTCCTGAGCGAAGGCCCGGAAAACATCCGGCAAGGAACCTAGCAAGATCGGCTGATCAATCCGATCACCTGGCGCACAATTCTCAGGCAGGTCAACCCAGATTTTGTCCGACTCAACATGCGCAACCTGCAAAGGCCGACCCTTGTGGAGGAGAGGGAAGTCCGGATGCCAATCAACATGCTGAGTAAGTTCAAGGGCGCCTTCGTCAACAACAACTTCGCAAATCTCAGCGGAACGATGTTCAAGCAGCGAGTCAACCGGCCGAGCAGCAGGAGGCCGCAAATCACGGAAGATGAGATTGGGATCCTGCACACGACGGTTGGATGCAACCTGACGGCGCTCCGAAAGCAAGCGACGCTCAAAGGACCGAAAGTTGGCCTCAAAGGACAGGAACAAACGTCGCGCAACCTCCTCGCTTGGCGGGCAAGATGGGAATGACTCAGGGTCTTCATCCAAAACACAATCGCGAGACATCCACCACACTGAGAAAGTAGCCCCAAACCCAGGAGCACGGCAAATGGCGTCCCACAAGGCGGCCCGATGCTCGACGGCAGAAGGAGCAGGGTTGACCCGAACCATAGCCTGAACAATAAACCCTAAACCTTATCGGTTCCATTGTAAAGGAACCCTGAACCTTAAACCCTAAATCTTCTAGATTCCTTTTAAAGGAACCCTAAACCCTGAACCTTATAGGTTCCATTGTAAAGGAACCCTACACCCTAAACCATAAACCTTCTAGATACCCTGTGTAAAGGAACCCTAAACCCTCAACCTTATAGATGCCCTTTCAAAAGAAACCCTACACCCTAAGCCCTAAACCTCATAGATCCCTTTCTCCAGGAACCCTACACCCTAGACCTCATAGATCCCTTTTTTAAACAGGAGCCCGAAGTCCTAAACCCTAAACCTTCTAGATTCCATTTCTAAAGGAACCCTAAACCCTAAACCTCATAGATCCCTTTTTAAATAGGAGCCCGGAGTCCGAAAGCCTAAATCCGTTCGCCGACCTATCGTCCGAAACCCAGCCCTCTGCTTCGTTGCAGATCCCCTGACGCAAGACTCCCCTAGGCTCCCGAAGTGGGCTTTAGGGGTTTAGGGGTTTAGGGGTTTAGGGTTTAGGGGTTGGGGCTGTAGGGTTTTGGGGTTTTGGGGTCAGGAGTTTTATGTATATGTATACATATGTATATACATATGTATGATTATGCCTGTGTGACTTAAATTAAACATAGGCCATAGGCCTTAAAAGGGGTTCTTACATTGGTCCTTCACGGCAGTTTTCTCATGGTTTCAACCCTAGAACCCAGAAGGCCTCAACACTGAACCCTAAATTCAACTGACCAGGGCCCCTATCCTACATGCTCAAGAGCAACCCTTATAGAACCCGTTGTGTAAAGTAATCAAGGCCTGTGTAAGAACCGTTTCAAGAACCCTCTAAGGAGCCCTGTTTGATAAACCCTAAACCCTAAACCCTAAAACCCTAAAACCCTAAACCCCTAAACCCTAAACCCTAAAGCCCAAAGCCCCTGTGTGTGTGTTTTTCGGGCGGTAGGGCGAGCACACAGCCGCCGTAGCCGAGCAGCTCGGGGTCGAGGTTCGCTGGCTGCTATTGGTTCCGTCAAGGGCTCTGTACTAGATAACTTCAAGGGCTCCAGAGTAAGTTGATTAGGATTCCGGGCTTTTGGGGTTTGGAGATTTTCTTTTTTTTGGGCTTGGGTTTGAAGCATGATGTTGGATTCAAGGTTATGGGTTTGTGTTTTGTAGTTTGTCTTTATAAGGGCAGAAGAGACTGGCGGGGTTTCTGAAGTCTGAAATGCAGCTATATGAATAAACATCTAGTAGACTTGTACATATGTATGTACGTATGTGATGTAATGTCATGTCATGTCATGTCATGTAATGTCATGTAAATTAAATGTAATGTAATGTA